AAAAGTTAAGATTTCTTACCAAGCGTGCTGCTCTGGTCAACTCACATTCTCTCCAGTTCTGACTGAAAGAACAAACAGCCCAGCCAGAGGTCAAGCAGTAAATGAAACCAGTGGATGACTTTGGGTAAATACAAAAATTGAATGTTGAATGAAAATGAGACTCCTCAGACCAGTCCTCTGCACTGAAGTGGTTAAGTGGGCTGTGATTAAAACAAATAAGTAATTATGCTAATTATAGATAAAACGATAGCGAATTACCCCTATAAAAGCACCTCCTGTGCTCTGGAGTGGCTTTGTTACATTTACAAAGAGGAAGTTGATAATCATAGGATAAGCAAGAGGGCACCCTGTTGGTGTAGTGCAGCCCCCCCAGCTCTGCACTTCACTCTGAGATGGAGGTGGTGTGGTGTCAGAGCTTCTTTTCCCAAGCAAAGCTCCATGATTCAGAACAGGTTCAGCTCCAGCGAGTAAGGTGGTGTCGAGCTATGAGAAACTGTGGGAACCTTTCCATTTCTATGCCTGTCATAATGAAGCTCACAAACAGAGCTCTTTGCTGGCCCAGGCTAGCTCAGTTTGGCTTTTAGCACTGCTGGTAATGGCTTTTATGATCACCAGGTTTTAAGTAATAAATAAAACAAAGATGCAAGCTCTGAAGCTGTTGCACTGCAGAACAACCCTGGGGTGGTGACATCCTGTCACAATTGAAGCATGGCAGTCCTGCTGACTAGTAACTTATTACAAAAAAAATTTTTAGCAGCCTCTTCGTGCTCTGTTTTGTGCAAAATGCTTGTATGCCAGTGGGACTAAAAAGTTGGGGACTCGCTGGGTCACGGGTGCTGCAGGGCCCTTTTTGTGACCGTGGCAGTGTGGTGCTGGGAGACATGTTAAGATCTGGCTCTCCCTGCTGCATCCGTTATTGTGTGTGCTAAGCAATTTGGATTCCAGTGCTGTCCATCAGTACAGTGCTGTTCCTAAGCCCTAAATACCCCACAGGCTCTTTGTCAGAATGTTCCTATTAACAACTTGGTGAAAATAAAGGGTGAGGGGAAGGGAAGGTGGAGAAATAAATCTTATTTTAAATCTCTTGAGCTAGTTTCATTTCAAATGGAAAGTTGCATGCGGACCACCCCAAGCTATTGTGCTGTGGACTGTGTCAGCTGTTTGTACAGGGAATCTGGGTAGAGGATAAGAGTATCGTGCAGCGGAAGGGTGCATTGGGTTGTTTTTGTGCTGTATCCAGGAAGTTTCTAGCTCAGTATGAAGCTGAAATACATTGACACACGTGGTAATCATTATGAGAAAAGAAAGGAACATTTAAATATGACAATTTGCTGCCTCCATTCTGGGGATTATGTTGGTGTCCAAGTGTTTTGCAGAGGTAGTTACATCTTGTAGTGGGCTATGGGCAAATGAAGGGCAGATACCATTCTAGGGTACTCAGTGAGCTGCCTGCTAAGCTTGGACATGGTACTTGTGGTCCTGGTAGCTAGAACCTGCCTATGTAGTATATATGGCTTCTGGAGGCTGGGCTCTTAAATGTGGAGGTGGTGTTGGACTTGGAGCAAAACTGAATACCAGGCAGTGCGAAGCAGGAAGAAAAGGGAAAATACTGCTGTAGTTTTTTGCTGTGGCTGGACCACAGATGGGAGGTAGGTAACAGCCTCCTGGGCCAGCTTTTGCTTAAATAGCACAGGCACTGTAAGCAGAGGAGGACTGACAGCAGTACTTGAAGACAGACCGCAAGTATTCATGGAGCCTGCTCCTTCCCAACGTAAGGTCCTGCTGCTCTGTCTTCACTGTTTTGTAAGCCAACGTGTTCAAGTACCAACTAGCTTATAAAGAACTACAGGATCTGTAAACATACCCCCCATTTTCAGCAAGGCAATAGCAGATGAGGGAAGGACAAAGGAGAGGAACATGGTGTAGAAACATGGAAAATGGAGGATGCAAGAGGACAAAATCCTGCCTCAAGAAAACATGAGGCAGAACATTGGTGTCACAGAAGTGTTGTAGCTCCTATATGCCATTTTTTCACAGAGCATTGCTGGGAAGCTGGTCTGTCTCCTGTGACAGTGCTGGCTGCTGCCTTGGCACTCTGTCAGGCTCCCTTCTGTCCAGGCCCACAGAGCCCTACCTGTTCATAGCCACTGATGAACAACAGGGAACCTGATATGGGAAATGTGCTGGAGAAGGAAAGAGCCTTGAGGAGTTGAGTAATGCACATCTTTTCTGTCTAATATAACTATTAATGGTAACCTTTTATTATTGAAGGGACTGAAGTGACTACAATCTGGTTGGTTTGTTGGGAGTGGTTATGTGGCAATATAGCCTCATGTGATCAAGAAAGGAAACTGATAAGAAGGGAAAAAAAAACACCTATGGAAGCAAGTCAAGTGATGTCTCTGTGTAATTGTGATTCCAAGTAGCATTGCAGAGATTAACAGCCTGGCAGCCTTTTCATCTTAAATTTTATTTTTATAGGGGTTTATGACTTGGCACTGAAGTCAAGAGTGGGTGGAAACTTGGCAAATGTGGTTCAGCCCAGAAAGTGGATGTTATTTATATTTACTTCTCACCAGGATTTCAAAAACACTTGGTTACTGTTTTTGAGTTCTAACAAGTAGTAATTTATTGGTTTCAGTGACTTATTCTCTGTATATTTCTTAAACTACAAAATAGTTGAGAAATTGTTTCAGCTTTCCTGAAGCTGCTTGTGGAAGGAGTTTAATCTCCAAAGGGTGTAAATGAATTTTGAGTGTAGTTCTTGATGCATTTCCTTTTAGCAGAATGCTCCTATTATTTCATGTACACTGAACAACATCTTTATTGTATGTACATTAAGTTAATTCCTGATTCCCAAGTAGCAGCTGCACCTTTGGAATAATTACATTTGGTTTTCCTGGCAACAGTGTGTATTTAATAGCATTATTCACGTACAGGCTCACCACAGAAAGGCTCAGGTGATTATATGGCCACGTGTTTTCTGCATGGGCCATGGTGCTGGATGGGGTCTTCTCCAGTGTGACAGAACAGCCTTGCTTCCCCATGACCCTGCATGCCTTCTGTGCCCAATGCTTGGGAATGGGTACTGAAATCAGTACTTAACTAGGAATTTTTAGTACTTTCAGCAAACTGAAATGCTGTGTTATGTGTTTAGTAGGCTGTGAGAAATTTATGGAGATGGTCAGTCATTTACAGTAGTGTTTGTGTATTGCAAATATTGTATGGCATTTCATAGCTGAAACATCGTGCACAAATAAACAGTTATAAAATAAGTTGAGTTGAAACATTGGCTTTTGAAGAAACATGGAATTAAGAATTTTATTAGAAATGTTTAATTTTTACTTATTTTTTTCATTAACAAGGATTTTATTGAAGGTTAAAGGTTCTTTGGAATTTTTTTTAGGAAAAAAAAAATGGGAACGGGGAAATAAAATATCTTTAAAATAAAATTCCTGGGTACTATTTACCTAGTTATAAAAATTAGTACTTGTGATGTTCTGGAATGATGGCTCTAAAGACAGAAGTGGTGAGTGTCTGTGTTCTGGGCAGGATTCCCTCCCTCGTGAGAATTCAATCCTCTCTATCTGAGATTAACTCTGAAAGGTGAAAAGAGCTGTCTTTCTGTTTAAAGGGAAACAGAGAAGGTCATCAGTAAATTGTCACCTTGAGTACTGTGTAAAGATTCAAAGCTTTACATGGATTAGGTCTTAAGAGTTCAAAATCTGTGTACCATTGTTGAACGTTACACAAGTTCTGATTGTGTTACATTATTTATGAAATAAATCCCGTCGTCTTATTTAGCAAGAGCAACATAAAACTGAGGTAGTAGTTTGCTAGCTATGTGGTAGCAGTTCCTGGCCACTTTTAGATCAATAGATAAATGCCCAATTTTGTGTAGTGAAGCTCATGGAATCTTCAACTTTGTATAAAATGACTTTTTGATTACTTAAAGTTGTCTAAGTAATAGTTTTACTTTTTTTATTTTATAAACTTCATTTCCAATTTCAAATATTACTTGTAGAGGAAATTTGGTTTTGTAATACAGGCATTTAATTTGGCAGTTGCATGAAAAGGTGTTGCAGTATTACTGATGTAAGATATCTGAAAGGGTCGTAGCTGCATATATGATTACAATAAATGCATCTGGTTTGTAATTTTCATTTTTTTGTAATACGATGTCACTTAAGAATAACAGGTCTTTGTTATAGTAAAGATTTATTTTGAAGATGGTGAAGCCATAAAACAGCACTATAAACCAGTAAAAGGTTGCTGTCAGAATCTGTTTTCTGACATTCATACACAGTTCCTTCAAGATTTCCAGGCAGAGTGATGAGGCTTTTGTTAGAACCATTGCTCTGAAACGTTCTCATTTGTGAATCAAGGATGTGCATGGTTACGTAGCATGCTTTCAGGCAAGCAACTTGATTCTGCTACAGTACATCTAGGTGAATTCACATAACCTGGTAACTTTATCTGCACATGATACAAGGTAGAGTTTATGCTGGAAAAAATATAATTGCTGAGTTTGTAATGAGAAGTTGTCCCATAAGCTGCACAGGGAATGGTCTGGTTTCCATTGAATTGGTGTGGGTGGATGCTAATTTGGGTTTCTTTCCTTCAGCTAGATGCCAGTGATTCTGAAATGTTTCCCCTCTTTTAAGAGTCATTCAATTTGATGGCAGATTCAGAAGTTACTGACAGTGTGAGTGGAAATGTCTAAACTCGTTTCTTTGGGAAATGAGGCTGGAACAGACACCTGCTACCAGTTTTATCAGGAGACTTTCTAAGCAACAAGTGAAACCTAAGAAGTATGAAAGTGTCTTGATTATTGTTGCTCTTACTTTGTACTGCTTTTGTTCTATTTTTGAGTAGCTTTTATGCGCGTGCAGATTTGAAAACTAAAGTGGGTGCTATACACCTGGAGTAATTCTTACCCAAATGGTCCTCTTGTAAGTGCCAACTGAAATGACAGCAAAAACTTTTTTCTCTTTTAACAGTGGAAAGAGTGGAAAGAGAAAACCTTTCAGACTATTGTGTTCTTGGTCAACGTCCCATGCACTTACCAAATATCAACCAACTGGCAACTTTGGGAAAAACTAACGAACAGTCTCCTCATGGCCAAATTCACCACAGTACTCCAATCCGAAACCAAGTGCCAACGATGCAGACAATGATAAACCCTGGGCTCCTGTCTCCTCAGCTCAGTCCACAACTGGTGAGGCAGCAGATAGCAATGGCCCATCTGATAAACCAGCAGATTGCCGTCAGCCGGCTATTGGCTCACCAGCACCCACAAGCTATCAACCAGCAGTTCTTGAATCATCCACCCATCCCTAGAGCTGTCAAACCAGAGCCATCAAATTCATCGGTGGAAGTCTCTCCAGATATTTACCAGCAAGTCAGAGATGAGCTGAAGAGAGCCAGTGTATCTCAAGCTGTCTTTGCAAGAGTAGCATTCAACCGCACACAGGTATCCATTTCTGTTTTATAACCAAGAAGTGCTGAGGGGTCAAAGTTGTGACTCTAGTGGGGCTATGTGCTTGTTGCAGATCAAGGCAAGGTGTACCGCAGAAACAGGTCATACCATCCACCATTTTTCCCCCAGTTTCACTGGCATGATTGAGCAAGACTGTTTATTCATAGAGCAGCTGTTTGCTTGAAGTTGTTTACCTTAGTGCTGTTACTTGAGCTTTGTTCTCTAGTTATCATTCTGCTGGTGTGAGTTCTTTCCTGAGTTCTTCTCTGTGGTTATAAACTTCCACATCTGCTCCTGCCTGATGGCCAGGAAGAGGTAACAAGAGATTAAGGGAGTCAGCATCTTTTAGTTTATGTCACTTTCTCAGTTCCTTCTTGTGGTAACTACTGTTGATTGCACAACTACTGCCAGAGGCTAGTGACACAGAAATGAGTAAGACAAGTATTCATAGGCCTAAAGACAGTCTTGGTGCTGGCTGCGTAAGAGACAATTGATTGCTGGAAAAGATGTCTGCCATTTGCAGCTGGTTTTCTCACTCAAATATCGAAACTCAGATGTTAAAATAATTACACAGCAGTATCAGTGTAAGCCTAGCACCTGGAATACCTTAGGTGAATGCATATTCAGAAATGCAGGCTGTTTACATTTATCCTGCTGCCAGACTGCATTCAAGGCATACAAAGCACAATCTCTGGTTGGTGATACTCTTCTGTAAAAATTAATAAATGGGAAGTGAAATCATATTTAAATACTGGTACAGTTTTCTTTTGTACAATCAGAGCTGATCTTTGAGATTAGCTTTACCAGCAAGAGAAGACAAGGGCCACGTATGTATGTGTCTGCAGGAGGTCTGTCTGTAGAGCCATACAGTGCCTTTATACGTTCTCCTGGATTAACGATTTTCTTTGGCACTGCCATTTTGGAAATGCCATATTATGAGGGAACTAATTAAAGTATGGAGCACATTTTTATTACTTCCCTTTTTCCATTAAATTCATAAGATGGCTGCACTCAGAAAAAACATTCATGTTCAATCAACATGTCTTTGAGTTCTCAAGTTAGCCTTGAGGATATCGAATGAAAACTACATAGGAATGTATGAGTATTTCCTCTTTAAAATGTTGCTTTTAATTTGGAAAAGCTTTTCATCCCTCTGAGATCATAACCTGTTGTATATAGAGCCTTGTATAATCAAGGTAGATGGTAGTGACAGAATGACATATTCTACACTTGAGTGAGAGATCAGCATTAACCTTGCTGATGAGGGTTTTGCTATTGTCACTGAACATGATGTTTTGCTTCAGTCAGACTGGGACAGATTGGTAATACCCAAATCTGTCACCAGACCACAGGTATATCCCTGTCAAGCTGTCAAACAAATTGTGTGTTAAACTGGCCATTTCAGCTGTAGTGTTTAAAAGGGGGCAATGTTTTATTCTGTGTGTCTAGGAAATCCCACACCTCGCCTATCCCTGACTGAACACTGCATTTGACTTCTGAAGACAGCAGTGAAAAGGCAGGCATTTCTGAGAGATCACTCTGCTCTTTTTCTAGTGATTTTACAGTTTTTCATCCATCTATGGTGCTTAATAGCAGCTGTGACGGCGATTGCACCACAAATTATCAGAATACGGACTAAGGAAGCTGTAATATGTTTTTGTTGTTGTTTATTTGGCCTATTTGTCCTGCACCGAGCCACTGCTGGCTGTTGTCCTGCACACCACAGTGGAGAAAGCACTGCACTGCTGCTGGGAGCTGTGGAAACGTCTCTTTGTGGTTCAGTACTTCACAAGTGTGTAACTGTTCAGATTGAGCTCACTCATAGACCTGAGCAGCCCTGAGTTGACGTGCCTGTGTAATGTCCTTTGGGAAGGTGTCAAAGTACCTCTCCTGGACAGGACTGCACCAGGAAATGGGATGTAATGCTCTGTCCTCCAACCAGTTTACACTTGAGACTGGTATACAAAATAGTGTGTAATTCTAGGTTATTAGTATCACTGATTTTGTCTTTCCTCCTGTCCTGCTGATATTTGTCTCAGATTACACTAACTTCTCTAGATTTCACTTAAAAAAAAAAAAAAAAAAAAAAAAAAGATTGCTTCATTGCAAGTTATCAGACACACTTAATTTTATATAAAAGGAAAGAAATTGTCTACTTCTTAGTCTTCCATCATACATATGAATGTACCTGTACAGCCTGTGACAGTGATTCCAGAACAAGCTAGTCTCAAACATCCATAAAAGCTCATCTCAGAGCTGTGCTTCATTAGTCTAAAAGACCAGTGAACCTTATGTGCAGTGCATTACATCCTTATGAACTATCACTGCAGCAAAATAGTGTAGTTGTATATTTATGCGTTACTGTCCTTTTACTTCCAACTCAAATCAGTCTCCCCTCAGGTCAGAGACTGTTACCCCAAGTAGTAAGAAGAGGTGCTCAAGCAGTCAGCTTTGCACTGCACTGTAGAAGACGTGGGATAATCCCAAACATCCGTGGGGGGGAGAAGTGGAACTTCCTGATGTGGAAGTTCAGGTCTGCTTTCCACCTCCTTTCATTCTCCTTTCTGAGTCTTCTCAGGAGACACAGGGATCTGTGCATTTCTCTCTGGAAATGTTTGGATTAGAAACTGTAGCCCTGTTATTTCTCATTATGATATCAAAGAATAGATGCTGTGTGCCAGCCAGCTAATAACTGTATTAATCACTGCATTATGGGCCACTGCTTAATCCTTCTGCATGGTAGTTCTGCAGCACACATTAGCCTATAATTAAGTATAGCTTCATGAAATATGTACTGTGAGACTTGCTTAATAGATAAACTATTCTCTAATTTATTTTCAAGTCCAATGACCTACATACTCAATGTTGAAAAACCCCTTCTTATGAACATTATTTCTCCCCTGAGACCTTCCATCTGAGCAGATCTGTTAAATGAAGTAGAGGAAGCTTTGATCCAAACTAGGCTAAATCCATTGGAACAAATGGCCGACACATGTATATATGCGTGTATGTGTGTGGGAAGGGAGGATGGTCAGAAGATGGAGAGGTACAGTTGCATGATTTGTGAGACATCCAAACCTTCCTCTAAAAGTTGGAAAGTCATAGCTTCAGACACGCTATTTCCTTATGCCTGTGGCCATGTTGTTGTCTGCACATGTGAAAATAAAGTGCTTTGGTTTCTGTCACAAATGCTATGCACTTCCTAGGACACAGACCTGCCACTGCAGTCCCACTGAGGTGGGAAGCTCAGTACTTGCTCTGTGCCTGGGACTGCAGCACAGCATGCTTGGCTAAGATTTGGCTCTGGCTGTGTTGACCATGAAGAGGGTTTCTTTCAAACAGAAAGTTCCAAAATGAACATTTTGAGATTTATTTGAAACTGGGTATCAAAAACCCTCAAAGTGTGTATATAATTGATGCTTGATGCCTCTCTGTGTCTTCTTTTTACTTTAGTGCTAGGGAATCAGAGTCGCAATTTTAATTCACCCTGTTGCAGAATCTAAATGTTTATTTATTCAGTAGTTTGGGACAGTTGGAAGAGAGTTCTTCAACCCCCAGAGAGAATTCAGTTTTTGAAGGTGTTTTTAATGGCACTATTCCCAACAAGGGAGAAACTCCTCCATAACCTTCAAAACATTTAAAATGATTGTGCCCACTAGCATTGTTTGTGTTACCTATGAATGGTGTATGTTGGAAAGACATTCTCATAGGCTTTATACATCCCCACAGATGCCAGTAGCACTGCATTTCTGGACTACAGACATGGTCCTCTTGTGTGAACTGTGGTGAGGTGCTATTCAAATTTGTCAGTGTGGTTGTGTAGCCTAAGGAGTGGTACTGGGACTGTTGTGCTGCAGGTTAGGGCCCCACTGGAACTTGTGAGATGCAGGTAGATAGGACAGAGCACAAAGGCTGTTTGTATTCCTGGCCTGCATTTAGCTGCCATCATTTCCTTCCCTCCAAGGTGGCCCTGGAGACCCTCAGTCATACAGGCAAGGGAGGAGGTGTGGGTCGAGGCAGTGGAGAAAGCAGGTTATGGTGAAGGTGTTCAGCAGCATTGCTGGGGCAGGAGATGCAGTTTCTTGCTCATGTAATTACTCCTAAGACTACGGACTTGCTCCTGGAGGAGAATACACGTGGGAATTTTCAGCATCCTCTGGGGAGAGTCAATGTACCTCCTCCCTCTTGTGCCATAGTGTCTCCTAATGCAGCATCCAAGTTGCATCTGAAAGGCTGGTATCACCAAGGCTTGTAGTATCATGAGTTGTAGTATATTGCTAAGTTGGCACATGGTGATGGATACAGAGGTAAGAGAGGACTTGTTTAAAGGAAGTGCATGAAAATACTCCATCCTTCTCTGAAATGTTTTTTTTGTTGTTGTTGTTTTAGCAAATCTGAGGTTACTAAAGTAATCTGTGCTCTTCAAAATCTGTAGTTTTAAACCAGGAGATTTGAATCTGTCTTTGCATAAGAAAAATTAACTTGTTTTCCTCTTGTGCCTGCTTTCTGGGCATCCCTCATTGCTGCAGGTTCAGGCAGGGGAGGACAGGCTGTTTTTGTAAGGGTCCAGACACCCTAAATCACTGGATCAGGGAACTGCTTTTCTCCGCTTTGGGAGTACCCCATCGACTGAAAAGCCTATAGACTGAGTGTTTTCTGTTTATATCTTTTTTTTACGCATCTTTTTTTGCCAATGTTTTGACATAATAGCCAAAACTAGTAAAATGTTTGGGCGAATGGCCAGTCCTTGTTTTACTGAACAGCCTCACAAACTGGGAATATCCGTGAACCTGAGGCTTTTTGAATGAAACAGTGGTGGTGCCAGATTTAGAGCTGGAGGAGCAGGCATGCTTGGGATACATGTAACTCTTTTCCCAAAGAAAGTTGGCTGCATCTAGCTCTCTGTTCCTTTCCTCTCTCAATAGTTAGCAACAAGGAAGCATTTTTTCGCATGTACACAGGAAGGCAGGTCAGCTCCTGTGCCTTAGCGGGTG